CCATCATAACTACTTACTACCACAATCACCACCATTACCATACCATCACCATTATAATCACCCACCACCACTACCATCATCACTACTTACTACCATAATCACCACCACCATCACCATACCATCACCATTATAATCACCACCACTACCATCATCACTACTTACTACCACATTGTAGATCATCACCATCATTACCACCATCACCATACCATTACCACCATCACCATACCATTACCACTATAATCACCACCACTACCATCATAACTACTTACTACCACAATCATCAACATCACCATCATTACCATATCATCACCATTATAATCGCCACCACTACCATCATAACTACTTACTACCACAATCACCACCATTACCATACCATCACCATTATAATCACCCACCACCACTACCATCATCACTACTTACTACCATAATCACCACCACCATCACCATACCATCACCATTATAATCACCACCACTACCATCATCACTACTTACTACCACATTGTAGATCATCACCATCATTACCACCATCACCATACCATTACCACCATCACCATACCATTACCACTATAATCACCACCACTACCATCATAACTACTTACTACCACAATCATCAACATCACCATCATTACCATATCATCACCATTATAATCGCCACCACTACCATCATAACTACTTACTACCACAATCACCACCATTACCATACCATCACCATTATAATCACCCACCACCACTACCATCATCACTACTTACTACCATAATCACCACCACCATCACCATACCATCACCATTATAATCACCACCACTACCATCATCACTACTTACTACCACATTGTAGATCATCACCATCATTACCACCATCACCATACCATTACCACCATCACCATACCATTACCACTATAATCACCACCACTACCATCATAACTACTTACTACCACAATCATCAACATCACCATCATTACCATATCATCACCATTATAATCGCCACCACTACCATCATAACTACTTACTACCACAATCACCACCATTACCATACCATCACCATTATAATCACCCACCACCACTACCATCATCACTACTTACTACCATAACCACCACCACCATCACCATACCATCACCATTATAATCACCACCACTACCATCATCACTACTTAATACCACATTGTGGATCATCACCATCATTACCACCATCACCATACCATTACCACCATCACCATACCATTACCACTATAATCACCACCACTACCATCATCACTACTTACTACCACAATCATCAGCATCATCATAACCATTGCCATCATCATTACATTACCACCATCACTATTACCATCACTATTATGATCACCATCACCATCACTACCATCATCACTACTACTACCACAATCACCATCATCATTACATTACCACCATCACTATTACCATCAATATTATGATCACCATCACCACCACCATCATTACCACAACCACCACCATCATTACATTACCACCATCACTATTACCATCACTATTATGATCACCATCACCACCACTACCATCATCACTACTACTACCACAATCACCATCATTATTACATTACCACCATCAATATTATGATCACCATCAACACCACTACCATCATCACTACTACTACCACAATCACCATCATCATTACATTACCACCATCACTATTACCATCAATATTATGATCACCATCACCACCACTACCACATCACTACTACTACCACAATCACCATCATCATTACCACAACCACCACCACAGCTGTTATTACAACTACTACTACCAATCCAATACCATCACCACCACCACCACACCACTCACCTTTATGGTGACAATGAACATACACGACATCCAAGGTATCAATGGTTATTGCTTCATTACTATGCAGCATCTGTTGTTCATCAGGGGAACCACTCATTAGATCATTTGGTGTCCATTTCACAAGAAGTGACTCAACAGTTTGATGTAAAGACAAATATCCAGGCACCCAATCCGAACCTGACGCCTTAAATGACAGTCAAGGGTACTACATGAAAATCATTTCTCTCATTACGCTGATTGAACATCAGAAAGATAGTCAGGCAAGAAGCTAGTATGAGTAGTGATGAGTCAGTTTGACTCAACACAACTGGACACTCCAGTTTCCTCCTGTGGTAACAATGGATTGACAGGAGATAGGACATACTGGATCTCTAGCGAGAACAGTACGAAACTGATAAATGAATAAACTGCATCTGCATTAACACCAGATCAATAAGTGTCTGTCCCATCTGAGGAGAAGATTTCGTCCTGTGGTAACACTGGATCAATAAGGTATGGTCCTTACTGAACCTCTAGGGAGAAAAATTTAGAACTGATAGAGCTATCCAGTATAAATAAAATTAGTTTAGTTTAGGTTTCCTCCTGTAGTAAGTTACACTAGATCAATAAAAGATATCCTTACTGGACCTCTAGGAAGAACAGTTAAGAACTGATAGAGCTATCCAGTATAAATAAAGTTAGTATACAGTTTAGGATTCCTCCTGTAGTAACACTAGATCAATAAGAGATGATCCTTACTGAACCTCTAGGGAGAACATTTTAGAACTGATAGAGCTATCCAGTATGAATGGTTTAGTAGGTTTCCTTCTGTAGTAACACTGGATCAACGGCCTCCTCTAGGAAGACGAGTTTAGAACTGATAGACCTATCAAGTATAAATGAAGTTAGTTTAAAGTTCATCACAATATTAATCAAATTTTAAAATTAAACTATCACTATCTACATCCATACTCACTGGTTGAACTTCCACGTTATTTTTCCCAAACAACATATTAGCACTGGCATTCTGATGCAGAGACTCGACATGTTCGCGAGCGAGACTAGGAGCGACGACAAACTCTTCCACTGAGGGCGAGGTGCTGCCGAGCTGAGGTTTATCCAAGGATGCTTGACGTCGTCGCATTGACAGACCACTGTGGATGCGGTGTCTTTGAACGAGTTCGTCTGCCGAGGGGTCAGACCATCGTCCATCTGGTGTCTTCATTTTGGAATAGTCCAAGGCACACGGACCATCTGAAGAAAGTCGCGATCTTATGAGGATTTCTGACACTGAAAATCTCATTCAGCGAGATTGAACACAAATTAATTTAGTCCGCAACGCTTGTTTATGCCTGCGCCAAATGCATATTTTGAGATAATTCACAACGTAACCAAACATTTAAATTTTATATGTGACTGTCAAAGTTACCACTAATTTAAGTAAGCATAGAATGGAACAAACATAACCAGGCACCCATTTACAATGTAAATTATATAAGCAACTGAATTGGTGCAGGTAATGTACAGTACTGTACATATAAACAGGCAATGTGCGTAAGACTCAAGGTTACTCCTAAATGCAACTAGTTTTCTAGGAATGCAAGCAGTATTCGGAAAGAACCAATTATTATTTAGTCATCTAGTCAGCCCTTTAAAAGGACGCGGTTTGCTGAAGTCATTTCTTAGACAAGTGTTGCAGACTAAACTCACAAATAAAACATAGTATATATATACTGTACCAAGTAAGTTGGCCACAAGAGGTCCATTGACAGGATCAGCCAAGATTGCTGTTGGTTCGTAAAATTTGCTGAAAAACAAATAAGGTTAAATACAAAGGTTCTATATTCATGTCACTGCAAACGTATATTGCATCTGCGATTATTAACATACTCAGCATGTTCTGCCAAAGAAGCGAGAATTTTAGCGAGAAGTTTCTCAACCAATGCAACTCTGATCCACAGGAACTTGACATTCTTTCCGTAAGATAACTTGCACTGGTCCAACCTCAACTTCTTCAGCTTCAGGTCAGTCTTCTTCACCTCGTCTTCAGGAGCTAACGAATCCAGTAAACAGATCTCAAACACGGTCTTAGCTAGCATTTTATATCTTGGGCGTGTTTCTAAATTTCCAAGGTGTGCCCATATCAATTGCCTTGAATAGCCAAAAACACTCTCCAGTTATGCTTGTCAACAATAGACTATACCTATGGTTGTTCTATGCTTTTCAACCAAATATAAGGCGAGCATGCGCTCATATTTCGCACTGACATTATAATAAATTATTTTAGCAACTCTTGGGGGTATTTACCAACAATAATGCTTGTGGTTGTTCCATGCTTTGCAACCAAATACAAGGCGAGCATACACTCATTGCGCACTGACATTAAATATCAAGTTATTTCAGCAACTCTTGGGGGTATTTAAAACCATTTTAACACCATACAGTTCCCATTATCCATCAAAATATTAAAACATCACGGCTCACTTTTGCCAATTCAACAACAACAGTAGATTTTACAAACTTTCTTACGACGTAAATAGGACGAAATTGTGTCTGTTGTCAGCAGCAACACCTTATTTTATGATTACCTACACGGCCTTGACAGTGAAGCCGCGTTCATTTTATCTAACCGTGTTTTTCCATTTTTGGCCGCGATAACACGGCCAACACGGCCCTCTAGCTAAGACCCTGCAATGACTCATGCGGGCATGACACCATAAGTGCCGGTCATATTTTAAAACTTGAATAAAATTTCTTACCTGCACCTGGTTTATGTACTTCAAAAATATTCTCATCAACCTCTGTTCCAGTCAGTTTTCTGACCAACTTCTTAGTCACCTCTGACACTTCACACAATTTCAACAGCAATGTCTCTGTGTCGTATGGAGGCAATATTCCTCCTGCACGACGCTTTGATCCATCTTTGATGATAGCATCAATAACAGCTAGAAAATAAGGGGTTGAAGTTTTTTTTTTGTTTTTTTTTCTGTGTTGGTGTTGTGTACTCAGGTGAATAATATGTTTGCGATGTTACTCTGAGTGCATATCCACACCGGGCGAGCTTGAAAAATATGCCCGGCCACGGTGGGATTCGAACCTACGACCTTTGGAATACTAGCCCAATGCTCTTCCAACTGAGCTACGCGGTCAGGGCGGTTCGTGTAAGTGATATTTCGGAACAGTATCTAGTTCCTTCAATACCAATGTGTTCTTGTAATATGAATTTTTTTTTTTTTTTTGGCTAGTATTCCAAAGGTCGTAGGTTCGAATCCCACCGTGGCCGGGCATATTTTTCAAGCTCGCCCGGTGTGGATACTCAGAGTAACATCGCAAACATAAGGGGTTGAAGGTTTTCAGAAATTAATTCCAAGCAGCTTCAGGTCTGTACGTGGACCATTATTACAGGAACGTGCGGTCCTGCCATTTGAATGATCAGCAGGGATGGAAAAAATAGTCAAGCATGCAAGCACCGCTTGTAGAAATATTGAATTGCTGCAGGAAATTTGTTAGGTTGACGATTTGCAACTTGAATTTTGATGGAACCCTAATGTGCATGTCCCACTATTGGTCCAACAACTTATGGGTTGACAGACATCTTTCCCCTGAATTCCATGGTCAGCTTAGGACATTATGTTTAACCCATTGAGCAGCAATGCGCCCTACTTTTTTTTTACTTGTCCAACGCCAGACGATTTTACTCGTCAATGGGGAAGCTTGATGCAACTTAGTGGGTTTAAAACAAAAAAATCTGACAATGTCTCTAGTTGACCATTGAGCTGCAATGCACCCCAGTGCACTCTACTTTTTTCTTTCTACTTGTCCAACGCCAGACGATTTTACTTGTCAATGGGGAAGCGCTGCAGCTTACTCGGTTGAGCAGAGATTTAGCACGAAAATACTCAGTTGGTCTGCAGGAAATTTTAATCTTCAGGTTGTGCTCCCAGGAAGAAAATAATTTTTCCAGCCCTGGTGATTAGCATTCTGACCACTATGTTATGAAAACTTTAAATGATTTGAGAGTTATTGGCGCATGAAACCACAATTCATACCCCAATAATAAACATGCGAGTGCCGAACAAAATATGCACAAAATCATACATTACACACTCACACATACTTGAAAAAAATTGTTGGCTATATATTTTTAGCACTGGTAAACACAATTATAATAAAAACCTGTAGCTCAACAATATTATGCCAAAGCCATATGCATGTATGTATAAAAACAATAAATTAGAATAGCTCACAAAAGTGATTAAATATTTATGTCATACTGATGAATTGGGAAAGGTGGTTATTAGATATTCATAGCTCTTAATTTAAAAAATAAAGAAATTATGACCACAACAAAATAATATTTATTTTTGTTGAAACGCCAATAAAAACTAGGTCTTTACAGGCTATATACATGTAATAATGTCAGAATTGTGTAACCACACAACTATAAACTTACACATAAGTTAAAAACTTGCTATTCATTAATCCAATTCAACTGTCACGTTGTAATTTTTTCACATTTGATTTATGACAGAAATTAATGAGTCCATGGGAACTTTTTAATCACTTCCTTTAGAAGTCATCTGTGCAACAAGCTATCTATATTAAACACATCCTATTACACCAGTCTAAGATTTTACTTGTTGAAGGGGAGCTAGATCCTTGGGCATTCATGGTTTAAACTATATATCTTTCTAATTTGTAGCTATCTAATATGAAACTAGAGATGGATTATAATGATTCATTGAGATAAACTTAGGCAAAGAATAGATAGCTGTGGATTGATTAAGGGATACAACTGCGTGAAAATATAAGGAGAAATTTGATGTTTCGAGCAAGTTAACTTCCTATTTAAGGTGCCTTCACTTGAAACATTGACGTTCTCCTTGTGTTTTTCAGGTATCAAATCAATCAGTATCATCCGTCTCTCAGTTTCATATTAGATAGCTACAAATTAGAAAGATATATAGTTTGAAGCATGAATGCCCAAGGGTCTCCCCATCACAAGTAAAATCTTGCCTACAACTGCTTACACTGGCATAGAGCATTCAAAAAACAATAGTTGGTCTTTTCATTCTATTGTGTATAACTGCGCAGCAAGCAGACAGACCGCGCACAGCACTTAAGGAGTGCAGTGAACCATCAGACGTGATTTTTTCCAGAACAAACTGCTATTAACATAGATTGTGCTATCCTAGAGAGTTTGTCTTCTATTGACACGAAGACAGGTGAACCATCTGACAGATGAGGACTGTTGATGGATGATGTGTAGACAGTTTTTGATATGAAAACATGCAGATATATGCACATTCAGACTCGTTCTATAATTGTAGCAAATTATACTATCAATTAGAACAAAACTTGTTCTACAGAACATATTTCACAACATTTTAAACCCCAAACTAAAACTATTTATAGGCTATGAAAGCCTTAATTACAATCATAAAACTCTACATGTACTTAATATTTTGCCTGTTTTATTTGTACCCTCACTGACAAATCTCCAAAAATTTGAATATTGCATTGTGCAATGTTAATATACAAACAAATCACAACGTGTATGTATAGCTTATAAAATCCATAAGGCTGATTACAAAATACGAACAAAATTCAAATCTTGGGTTTTATAATAGTTCTCCAAACAAACAAATGTTTCGGTTAATACTTTCCGCATGTACAAAGTATCGAGTACTTGAGATGACTTGTTTTGAAATTTGATATAGCCACAAGAATATATTGTCTACAACAATTTTTTTGCAAAACCCATACGAAAACAACTCACCACAAAGCGAAGTTATGCTTGTGCTATCGGCATGGATAAATTTCCGAGTTACTGCTTCCTCGACAATCTGTTTCACCTAAATTAGATTACAAACTTTTGAGGTAAACAAATTGAACACTAGACGAGATATCCTAAGCTAAAAAATACAACTAAATATGTATATTATAAACCGAAGCAAACGCTCTACCGCGCTTTTGTAAAATAAATACAACGACAAAAGTCTTTTAGGCTTAAAGGCAAGCTTAAAAAATTCTGATCTTTAAAAGCTTGAAAGGCAAACAAATGCAAATAGGCCGGAATGGGAAAAGGTTCTAAGACAAAATGGCCGCTCTTTAAACCTACTTCTTTTTTAAGCTGTTGTATAAGTTTCTCCTGCATTCTTCTCAAAATATACAGCCCTTGAACAAACGGTTCTTCCTCCAAGTTAAAAGCAGTTGCATTTTCGGCCGTATATATATTTTAAACCTGGTTTTTTCCTCGACTTTCTAAAGTTGAACGAACGACATCTGTCATGCGACACCGTCTGCACAGGGAATATTGAATATTCATTCAATCCCTTGCTCAGCCAATCAGAGAGGAGTATTTTGGGATTCGGGTTAGATATAGCAGCCTGCAAATGCAGGTGTTCGGTGAACCGGAAAGGGTGTCTGTGTTTCCTTGGAAATTTTATCTTCGTTCCCCACCAAGATTTCATCAGGTTCTCTTGTTCCTCTCTTGTTTCCTACTACTTTGGCTTTGCTCCCGTGCAGCCATTGCAAAATATGCATTAAGGGGCCGATTACATGGAGCATTTTCAACCCCGGGGTTGAACTCAGCCCTATTAACCGGGTTGAATACCCCGGGGTTGAACTCAGCCCTATTAACCCTATTCGCGGCATCGATTCGCGGAAGTAAAAAAAGCCTTTATTTTGTTTTCTTGTAATAAATAGTCACTACCACGTATGCTCGAATAAGTCATGATAATTTCAGCCCAGGGTTGAAACGATTACATGACAAAATTTTCAACCCAGGGCTGAGTTCAACCCCGGGGTTGAAATTTCAACCCTGCTAGCTGAAGCAGGGTTGAAATTTCAACCCCGGGGTTGAACTCAGCCTTGGGTTGAAAATTTTGTCATGTAATCGCGCGTTTGATTTTGATAGAGTTTTGTATTACAGACAGGGCTGAAATTTCAACCCGGTAAACAGGGCTGAGTTCAGCCCCGGGGTTGAAAATGCTCCATGTAATCGGCCC